GGGGGTTACTTGGGGGGGAGCTGGAAGGGGGGTTACTTGCTGGGCTTGCTATACATGTCATCACATCAGCAGGTTTAACCTGTTACGTAGCTATATAAGGCAGACGCCCACTGGGGTGGGGGTGCTTGCTTTGCGAACGATTGCCAAGCACCACTTTCTGCGCAGGAAATAAAGGTTAAGTTGGATCCTTCACCCCTGTGTGTTTATTGGCACAAGCGCACCGGGCACGAACTCTCTGTCCTTTGGGGACAACACCGGGCATGAAGGTGGGAGCCGTGTTTCGCGTGGGGTGCTGGCAGCCGCGTTGGCCCTGTTTGCTGCGCTCCTAGTGGGGACGTGACCCGGCCCAGCGCGCCCGTGGGGTCCGCACCGCGTGGGGTGGGAGTTGGGGCCGTGCCCTGCCGTGGTGAGGGCAGCTCAGCGGGGCCCCTCTGGCCCCCGCCACAGGCCCAGATTCGCGTGCCCCGACCTTTCCTGGACCTCTGAGGAACCGAGGGCTGCGGACCTGGCTCCCTGCGCCTCCCAGCCCTGGGGGTCCTCCCGTGGAGCCGTTTCCGGTGGCCCAGGTGAGGGAAAACGTTGTACCTCCAGAGGAAGATGGGGCGGCTGCCCCCAGCCCAGCCTATGTCCCCCATGATGCTGACAGGCGGCATCAGAGGCAGTCTGGGCCTGCACCAGTGCCGGATTTGGCGGCCCCCCTCTTCCTGCACTTTCACATCTGGTGCCTGGAGCTGCAGCGCTGGCTGGGGCGCCCCAGCCCAGACACCAAGTTGCTGGCCCGCCTGATTCCCTCGGCACCGCCCTGGTGCTCCCGCCCCATCCAGCCGGGCATCCCCTGCACCCATCAGCTTTCCTTTGCGGCCCTACTTGCCCCACACCTGCTGTCCCTCCCCGCCCCCGCCCGTGCCTGAGGAGCTGCTGGGGAATAGGGAGGACAAGGCTGTGAACACAGAGGAGCTTGGATGTCATCTGCGGGACCCACACCCAATGCAGTGCTGGATGCATCCACTTTTCTTTTCGCAAGTAACAAGGTGGGGTCTGGGTGAGCTAACAGGGCAGAGCTGAAGGCCCATTTCAAATATTCAAGGGCTTGCTGGGCTTTCACACTCCAGTAAACAGGGGGTTTCCATAGCAGGGTGGAGAGACCAAAGGTAGCAATCCGTCTGACAGCGGCTGCTAGAGGTGGAACGTGAAGCCAGGCTCTAAATCGCCCCCTCCAACGTCACCTTGTCCAGCAGCCTTTTCACTCTCTGGAACCTGAACCCAGGGGTGAGAAATCAAAGGAGATCTACAAGCTTCATCCCTCCTGGAGTCAGTGCCATCATCTAATAGGAACTGGAGCCCAACATGGCTGTGGACACGGGTGAGAATGGAGACCTGTCCTCATGAGCAGGGTCCCAACTGGGCTTACCTACATTCCCAGTCACTTGCTGGAGTTGCTGTGGGAGAGAAGCAGCCATTTGGTCTTTCTTTTTGCAGCAAAGGCTGACTGAATGCCCACATGGAGCCCGGTCCATTTTGGCTAACAGGGACCTTAGTGGGTTTAGGTGCCTCCCCAAGCTCCTGTTCAACTCTTTGCAGGGCTCTGAAGATGAGCGCTGATGTATCTACTCTTGTAACACACCCTCCTGTTCTCCATGAGACAGTATCACAAAACCCAGTGAGAACTGCCTGTGGGAAGCAGGCATTGAACTCAGGCCTTGGGAAGGTGCAGCAGGTGACCTTAACTGATCTAAAACAATGCTCCCTTCTTGGAAAGGAGTGTTAGATTCTCACTGTCTTTGACACACTCCCTCACCTACACCCATTGCTCCTCAACCTGTACAGCCCCTTAGAGATTCACCCAGTAATGGGCACCTTCTGAACATGTCACAGGTTCCCATTCCCTCCCCTCTTCCTGAGGCCACCGCCAGCAAACAGACGTGCCAGTCCTGCTGCCAAAAAACAAGCTTGTTCAAAAGTCACAAGGTTATTTTCGGAGAAAGTGGCAGTGGCTTTATACCCTGGGGAAATCAACAGAGAGGACAATTATGAAGGAGATGAATGCAAGAAAGCGCTCAATGATGGACAATTAACTTCTCAGAGTAGCCCCTATGGGACACTGAATCCAAAAAGGAGTGAGGCCTCAGCTTCACCATGGGAGGTTACAACGTGCTGCAGTTCACCCAGGGGATGGCCTCATACTTTCCCCGCTCCTCCACAGGAAAGGCTGGACCTGCCACAGGCTGCACCTCCTTCAGTCCTGCTACCCCACTTCCCCCAGAAAAGGGACTCTACTGCCCCTGGCTAGAAGTTCCTCCAAAAGTGCAGGGTTCTTGTTGCACAGCAAAACATGGGGGGGAACCTCGAGTGGGACGAACTCCTGTTCCCAAGGGTTAGCAACAACCCCTGGATGTGGTGAAAGCTCTGGAAAGAGAAGAGGCTAGGATACAACAGAGATTCCACCCTGGAAATGTTTTGGGACCCTGGTCTGCTCCTATTGTACAGCTCCGGAGAGGACACAAAAGCCATCCGCAGGGATAGCATGTTCACTTTGGTGCTTCCTTAGCAGAGTCTCCCTGTTACAGAGAAGGCAGTGAAGATCCCTTTAGGGAAGGGCATGGGTGACTGGTGCCTCCTGAGTCTGGTGGGGCACCAGATTGCCAACCGGGGCAGGGGGATGGGCAATTCTGGTTTTGCAGCTGGCACTTCCAGGGGGTGTATGGCTGATCTGAGGGCGTGCATGTGCACCCCCTACATGTCGCCAGTGGGGAGAGGGGAGCACCAGGCACCCAGTGGTGCAGAGTCCTGGAAAGAAGCTGAAAAGCAATGCCTGCCAAATGGAGCTTGGGGGGTGGCAGCATCAGCTCCTTGCAGACACCTGATGGGCCTGAGCAGGCC